AATATTGCATGCCGGAGCAGAGATGCCATAGCTGAGGAGGAATCTGAAATCTGGTCTCCAGAGAAGTTCTTCAAGGCAGAACCAAATTGCAAGAAATTGCTAGGAATTACCATGCTTTGAGACCAGCATCAGAGCCACCCTGGGCTGTGGCATGGCCCCAGTTTAGGTGGTGTTTCCTTCTGTCTTGCAATGTGTGAATTGGCAGCTCTCCCCTTCACATCTACCCTGCTCGTTTCTGTCATATGGAGTGGGCTGCAGCACTCAGAGGAGCCATCTCACTCTGCTCTGGATCCCCTTGCCTGCAGGTCCCATCCCTCAACTATGGGGTCACCCTGTGGTTCGACGCCTATGCACTCAGCAGACAGAAGCATGACCTGCCCTGCACCCAGGGCCAGTGGATAATTCAGAACAGAAGGTGTGTGCTGGGGTCCTGGTTTCTGTCTCTCACTTCCCACCTGGGATTAAACTGGTGTTAAACCTCTGCAGGTTCCCTGCTCACTTCAGCCACCAGGTCTGAGGAAGGAGAGCCCATCACCACACTCAGCAACCACTGTTTGTGCTGGTACCTCTTGCTTGCCCACTTCTCTTTCAGCCTCTCTTGTTCACAGGTTCCCCAGTGAGCACATTTCTCACAGATTTGCTTCGAGCTACCAGCCTGCCTTCTCTGTCTTGCTGCTGCTTGCATCAGGCTTCCTAGTTTTCTCCTGTGTGTGTAACCTTGGTGTCCTCCCACGTCTCCTGTGTTTGCAAATCTGCCTGTCACCACCTCCGCAATATTATCTGCGTGTGCCATTGCCTCGCATCCACCTCCGTAAAGATCTTCCGCCTAGCTCCAGATCCTCCTGCTTTGACTACAGCCACTTCCCCCTGTGGGACTTCCCAAAATCAGCGTCCATACGCAGCTAGGGCTGCTGCCCACCACTGCCCAGGTGCAAAGGACCAAGAGTTGCTGTGCTCCCATCTCCTCAAAGCAGTCTCCGAGCTGGATAGCTTTTGTTTTTCCTCCCACTTACTGCAAAATTGCCCCTTTCCCTCCAAAAACCTCCCCCAGCCCATCTCATTAATTTCCTCTCCCCTGCTCCTGTGGGGGTTACTTCTTTTCTTCTGAAGGGTCTGGTCCAGAAGCTATGTTCCCCTGGCTTAGGATTTTCACTTTTTCTCTCCCTGCTCTCCTCTCTTAAACTGTCAGTGCCACAGTTTCTACAACATGGCTTCTTTGAGAAGATAAATGTAAGAACTGAATTGCTTTGTGTGGCCTGAATTCAGCGCTTGCCAAGAAAGTGGGAAATGTCCAAAGATAGTAGGGTCACTCTGGACTCGCACATGGCCTGAGGGCAGAACTGGGTCACCATATCCATAGGCTGTTGTCATCCTGTTCGTCAGGCCTAATTTTGCCCTCTTGCCCCCAGTTATTCAGTGCTGAATATCATGGCCATTCCAGTTTTTTCCCCTCTCTCTGCATCAGTTTCCACCACAGCATTCACGTGTGGTGGTGTTTTCATAAAATCATATAATCATAGGATAGTTTGGGTTGGATTATCTCTGTGGCTTCCTCACCTCACTTCTTCAGCCATTTTGGGGGAGCCCCTAGGTTAGTTATGCTGCCTTGCACCCAGAGAGGACCCCTTGTTTCACCAGGGTTACTCCCTCCTCATCCTGGCCTTGCTCAGTCACCAAGATGTGACCAGGCAGAGCAAGATCTAATGTCAGCTCTCCTGTATGTTGACAGGGCACGGGTTTAAATCGCAGCCTTTTCCCATTGATCCTTCATAATCTTGTGACATATTGAAGGCATTTTGCCTTCCTGGCTTCCCACACACACCTACTCTGCGTGGTCCCCTTTGCACCCCAGCCCCACCAAAACCCCTTGCCCCACTTTGTTGTCTTCTCCTCCCTCCCTGCCCAGGACATCCCCTCTGTGTTTGCCCCTCAGGTTGTGTGGCCTGCGGACTTTGCAAGCCTACGCTGAGCGGATCCCAGTCACATCCTCAGCTGACATCTCCATCACCTTCACCTCGCAGATCTCCTTAACTGGCCCCGGCGTACAGGCAGCTTACAGCCTGTACAACCTATCTGACCGTAAGTTCAGGCTCCTCCTTGCTCCTTAGTGGGGTGGTGGGGGTCCCAGCTGGCTACCAGCAGCCCTTGTGCACTTGACTTGTGTTAGGAGAAACAGAAGACACATCCTGTGAGCCCTAGGTGCCATCTGCCCTTCAGGCACATGCTCACAAATGTGGTGATGCACACACCCCTGGTCTGCCAAAAAGAAGAGGCATTTATGTGCAAAGCTGCTTCTGCACATGTGGCCCTGTCTCATGTTGCCAGAGCATCCGTGCGCTGCAGCCGAGCTTCAGAGAGTTGCCTGCAGGCTCACCCCTGTGCCCACATCATGGACTGGCCTTGGAAATTCAGTGGGAGACCGTTTCTGACTTGAAGCAACTTTGATTTCGATTATAAGGGCTCTTAGAGAGAGCAGTTTCCTGCTCACTTTGGAATCCGTGCAAGTGAGAGACATAAAACCGCACACAAATATGCATACGCACATATGCAAATGCACACCCACCATTGTCTTTCCAAGTTTTCTCCGCCTCCCTCCTAAAGGGTGCCTGTAATGCATACCAGTCCCTGAATACATGAACCTGCCAACACATCTAACACCAACCCCTTCAAGGCTCCGATCAAGTTTTAATAACAACTCCAAATAACCTATTTCAGCTTTTCCACAGCATTCAGGAGTCATGAAACAGTGGCAAACCAGAGGTATAGCATGCCAGGCGGGTGATTGTCTTGGCTCTTGCCCATTGATACAACGGGAAGCAGGGAAAG